GAGCTGTTGGTGAATGTTATGTAGCAGGTGGAAAATACTCTGAATAGTAAAGGTTGCTGATCAAAAACTCGGGAGCTTGTCAGAAATAAAAAGCAGATCCTGCTTCACGTATCATTTCCATCTCAAATTGTTTGCTCTAAACCTAAACCTCCTCTAACTTAAACCCAACTTTGAGCTTCCTGTATGCAGTCACAAGTCGGATAACTCGTTTTTTTCTGAGGGAAAAGCTTGATGCTTAAACCAGAAGGGTTTTCAGGCTGTGGGGCCTCAGAGAGGTGTTAACAGGGAGCAGCTTCAGATCACTGAGCAGCAACAGTGCAGTTTGCACAACCGTGCAAGCATCTTGAGTCTTTCCTCACTTCGTCATGTTTTCTCCCCAGAAACCAGACTTTCCTGCTTTCTGAAGGTCTTCAGAGGTTTTTCTCTGGACTGCTTTATTTACTCCATTTTTAGTGCCAGTGCCTCACCATTTATAAGTATTTTCTTTCTTTTTTTTTCTAGCCAAGCTGTTTAAATCTTTCTATTTTATTCGCTTTACCTACTAAACATAAGAAATTAACCAGAATTGTGACTACACATGAGGTAAAACTAGCCTGTGAACCAGATTGGACCTTCGCCTATAACTAAAGTTTAAACTTTAATGTGGTTTCCTAAAATGCCTTACCTCTTTTTTTACTTTTAAAAACAAAATCTTGTTTCTCAGAATACACATTACATCCTTAAGATGTATCGAAGTGTATTCCCCAAGAGTTTCCTATGAGAAATGAAATAAAAATTATTTTTCTATGTATGCCTGAAGGTGGCGGGGGGAAGAAAAATTAATTTGGAGGAATAAAGTGCCTTTCAAAAAGTATTCACAGTCCATATAACTTCTAATTTTCGTTTTTTTGGGGTTTTTTAAGTGATCAAACAACATGAAGTAGAAAAGAAAACTGGCCAAGAACAAAACCTTTTTAGAGGCTCAAAAAGAGTCTTTTTTCACCTTTCAGCAGGACAACAACCTCAGACTTACAGCCAGAGCTACAGTGGCCGTGTTAGAATGGTCTAGTCAAAGTTAAAAGGCCCAATGTTTACATTGACTTTATCAAATTGGGCTGATGTTGAGATGTTTTGTGTCAAATAATGGGCAAACATTTCAACCTCTAGATGTGTAGAGTTTGTAGAGATTTACACCAAAAGACCTGCAGCTGTACTTGCAGAGAAAGATGCTTCTATAAGTATTAACTCAGATAAATACAAATACCACAGATTTCAGATCTTAATTAAAATACTTGAAACCATTTTAAATTTATGCACCACTTTTTGTTGGTCTGTCACATAAAATCCCAGTAAATTAATTAAATTTTGTTTTTTTTAATGATACAAAATGTGAGAAGTTTGAAGTTTGTATATAAGCTCCTTCTTGGCAGAAAACTCCCACGTTTTTGTCAAGAACCTGCAGAACTCCAGTCTGACGTTTTATTAGCGTGCACAAAATGAGCAACCAGGAAGTCTGGCTGACTTTTGATGCCAGTTTGCTGCTTCCATCTTTCAGAAGCAGGATGAAGGCTTGGTTCTGTTGGACCTGGTATCCAGCCACCTGGGCCTGCAGGAGAAGCAGCTCTTCAGTCTTCAGATCAGAGAGTCGAGCACCGCCATCGCCTCCATTGCAGCCAACACGCTCTCTCCCGTGAGCTCACACTTCATCTGCTGCACATTTGCTCTAAGTCTGTAATGTGTTTCTCCGGCCGGTTGCAGTCGGTGATAACCGTGGGGCGTGTTTACATAAATGTTATTTGTTATAGCCTCAGATGGCTATTAGGGCTGATGAATGCTTTTCTTTTTGCAGCGATGGTTAGAGCCAGAGAAGTCCTTCAAGAAGCAGATAAAAGGTATCATTTGTTGGTGAAATTTCTGAGTTCAGCAGAAAACTGGGTTGTAGTTGTGGTTAAATATAGATACAGGCCTGTTTTAAGCAATTTGGTTGTTTCTGCAGGTCTTGCCTCCCCCTTTTATCTGAACTTCAGAGTGCGGTTCTTCATCTCTGATCCCAACTCTCTGCAGCATGAGCAGACCAGGTCAGTACTTCTCTATCATGATAATCCAGCTCCATGTCAATGTGAACTGTTAACATTTTATAACAATCAAACTGTTTTGTTCACATCTTGATGGGAAACTTCTAAGCTGCTCATAAATATAACTGATTGAATAATTGTTGAAATTGCCGAAGCTTCAGTATTTAGTAAATAAACCTTGTCAGCTGCACTTAAGCAATGACTCTTCAGGTTTTTGTTACTATGAATAGTCAAATAAGTATGAATGTTTCCTTTTAAAAGTTGAACATTTCTTCAAATTTTAAAGTGTAAAAACAGTAAAATAAGGGTCCAAACTGGTATGACGGAAGGCTTTTCCTAAATTTTGTCCGTTCTTCCAGAACAAGATTTAAATTTCTGTCAGATCAGATGTTTTAGAGTCGCCATCCATTCTCGTTTTGGTGTTTTTCCATGTAGGGTGTGTCATTTTCCTCCTAAATTTGTTTAGCTGAACTCACTCTTTCTTATTTTAGTGAATTGTTCCCTTTGCCTCCAGCTCTTACACCAGCCTGAGGCGTTACTGAAAAACTCTCTGATTGTGGGTTTATGAAGTTCAGACATTTAAAAAAAAAAACATATTTGCACACTTTTATTTTTATGTCATGCTTCAGTTTAAAGGGATTGTTGGAAAAGCTTGCAGCAGGCTTTGCTTTCTGATTTGTTTGAGATTACACAGTAAAGGTTTCTTTATGAAGCCTTGATATGCTGCTTTTTTTTTTAACAGGTTTAGCTTTTTCCTTTGAGCTTTTCTAGCTTCATTGTTTCACACTTTTTCTTTTTACTAGTTTCCTGATTTATGTCTCAACTTCTGCTTTTGGCTTTTTATATCCTGAAGCATTTTGTTTGTCTTTGTGAGCATCAGTTTTTATCCTCTGACGGTTGGACAGCTGCATCATTTGATGTCGTGCCAAATCTGTGCAAACTAAGAAGCTAATCAGGGCGTTTGATGAATTTTAATTAAAATGCTTGGATCCCAAGGGCGATGGCATAAAGTAGAAATAAAATAATGTGCCACTTTTAAATTAAGAGAAATGAATGAACATTTGAGGTCATATTTTACCATTTTAACCGCTTATGGAACATTTCCAATTCAGGAATGTTTCCCAGGAATCGGGATAGTTTTCTGGAGACTCATTTAAACGATTGAAATTACAGTAAGGATGAAAAACTGGGTTTCTATAATCTAGAGGTTTTATTCTACTTTGATTATTGGAGTGATGTGGAAACAAACTCTAATTAAGAAAATAGTTTTTGAGTTTTACTGTAAAATTATTTGTTTATTCAGTTCATACAGAAAGGAGGAAAATAGTTGTCTTATTTATTGTTAAAGGTAACAGGAACCAGTTAGTATCAGCAGGTCAAACCTTTACAGAGTGGAAGATCAGAAATCAGCCACAATCTCTCTGATTTGTGCATTTGTATTTACAAATTTCCTTGATATTTGTATGTTTTAATGTTCATTTCAGATTGTAGCCTCTGTGAATATATCAGAAGTTGTGACTGTAAAGCACCAGATAATAATCCAGACCAGGTCTCCTGTTTATCTCTGTTCTCTGCCTCCAAAGTAGCAACATGAATGTAGTAAAGGTTGGATGTTTTTACTCATGTTTTAGAATACTACCCTGTAAGTTAAATCATAAATTAATGACTTGTCTGCCTCTGTTCCTGCCAGAGGCGCTGCTGTCTCCTCTGCTGAATGAAGATCAGACTTAGATGATTAAATGTTGTTGTAAACATGAACTAGTTTGCTATTCCAGTTTGCAGCTGGTAGTTAACCAGGTAGCAGGTTATAATGCACTCACTGGTTTCATTACCTTCTGTCTGAGTGTCTGCAATGGGGAAAATAAACATCAAACTGGAGAATAAGGATGCTGAAACTTTATTTTCACTTTTGGTATGTTTTCATTCTGTTGGAAAACTAAAATGTCTTTCCTTTCAGAGCACCCTGATTGTTTTGTTGAGAAACTACTTCCATTGACATTCTTGTTATAATTGAGGCGTTTTATCAGAGCCACAAACCATTTCTCCCTGGAGATATTAAAAGTCTGCAGAAAACATCCCTCGCTTTCTGTCAATACTTGTCTAAACGTTTCGGTGTGGTTGTGTCCTCTGAAGCCTGAGCCGCCGGTGTGTCTAACAAACACCAGCATGTGAAAGAGACGCTTTTTCAGGGTATGGAAAACAGGCGTGGGTTGATAAAGTTCCTCTTTTGTCGCCTCTGCAGGCACCTGTACTTCCTCCAGATCAGGAGCGACATCAGGGAAGGACGGTCAGTTGTCCCGCTTCACATCGAGCGCCTCCTCCTCTCTTTCTCCTCCTCCTCCTCCTCCTCCTCGGCGCTCAGTATTTGTTTAGCTGTGGAGCGTGCGATGTGTAATCACGGTGTCTGATTGCAGGTTGCAGTGCCCGCTGAGTGCAGCTGTAGTGCTGGCTTCTTATGCTGTGCAGTGTGAGTCCCGTCTCTCCTCTAAAAGAGAAAATGAGATGATTAATGAGGCAATGATAGCTGCTTGAGTAATTACTCCTGGGAAGCTGCTCTCAGTGCTTTTATTTAGCAGCTTTCTTTCACTAGCGAGACGTTGGGATACACAGGTGTGTGCAGGCGGGGTTTTATGTCTCCCTGTGGGATGCTCAGTGTTTGTTTCCATCACCTGCAGCGGAGATGGGGGATCACTGTCCGTCCAGACAGCCGGGGTACCTCTCGAAATGCCACTTCATTCCCGAACAGGACGAAGACTTTGTGTCTAAAGTGGAAGACCTGCATCCGCAGCACAAGTGAGTTTAGTGCCTGTAGTTGAAAAGAACAGCAGGTTTGTTGCACAATTCCTGTTGTGGTATGTGTCTGCGTGTGTGTTCCTAGGGGGCTTAAGCAGAGTGAGGCGGAGCTGTGTTTTCTCAACACTGCACGGACGCTGGAGCTGTACGGAGTGGAGCTGCATGCTGCCACGGTAATGTTGTTACTTTAATTATGCCGTGGCTTAGTAAGCACACCTTCTTGTTTTCTTACGTTAATAAATAAGAGGAGGGTTTTCCTGTTTGATTCATCGCCAAAGCTTCACCAATTAAACAAAAGCTTTTGGTTTATCGTCCAAGAACTTTGGCACTTAATGAAAACTCCTTGAATTATTTGACAACAATTAAAAACTGAAGCTAAAGCAATTTTTAATCTCAATATGACCCATCCTTCTGTCTCTCAGGACACCAACAATACGCCTCTAATGGTGGGTTTGGCCTCCAGTGGTGTTGCAATGTTCTGCAATATGATTTGCTCCAGTTTCTTCCCCTGGTGAGTAACTCCGCCGCTCAACATTCAGCTTGTTTTCGCATTTCCTTCCAGTAAATCTGACGCTTTTCATGCAGGGGGAACATCATCAAGATATCTTATAAGAGGAGACGCTTCGTTGTACACCTGAAACGCAAACATGTGAGTCTCTGGCTTCGTGAAAACGTTTCTGCTGGTTCAAAGATACGATCAGAGTGAACGGAGTTGTTTCTGTGTGTTTAAAAATCCATTGTTCATGTATGGAAAATGGACTAAAATGCAGTTCGTGGTTCCTGCACAGTTTGTGAAAAGTTCTGACTTATTTCAGGTCTGAATAAGTTTGAAAAATTACAAAAATTGACAAATATTTGTATTTACAGACTTTATTCCCCAACATGTAGGCATAGAGATCTGCCTGTCCACCAGACATCCATCTTTTTGTCCATTTATCCATCCATTTATTCATTCATTTGTCCATTTGTTCAATAGAGGGCTGCAGCTAACAAATATGTTAGTAATTGATTATTCTGATGATTAACCGGATACAAAAGTGGCACATTTTACTGGTTTTTCATTTCATCACATAAGCTCTTTTGTTAAACATGAAATAAACATTTAATTGCTTAAAAATGCAATAACATAACATTCCTTTGCATTTGAACCAAGTGAAGTTAACACTGTGACACTTGAGGAGTTTGGGCTTGGATATATTATATCTTGAATCCAAAATGTTTATTTACTTTTGTACTGCTTGTTACTGCTTTGAATATATTATTTTTTAAGCAAATGTCCTTTTTTGAGTCTGTAAACTCCAGTTAACTGTTAATCGATTGCTAAATTAGTTCACAGTTATTTCAATAATCGATTAATCATGATTAATTATGATTAATTATGATTAATTGATTCAACCCAAATCCGTTATTCTTTTGTCTTTCCATCAGTCTCTCAGAGTGTCTTCAGAGAATATGATGTCTTAACATGAAAAACACGTTGAACCATGTTGTCTTTTATTTGCAGCAAACTTATCTTCTGTTGCAAAACAGAGACGATGTGAAAAGACCCTTAACTCTTTGAGTTGCAGGGGGAAACCCAAGACTGTGAGGTGTCTCTAAACCTGCCCTGCCCCAAGACGTGTAAGAACTTATGGCGGTCCTGTGTGGATCACCACTCCTTCTTCTCCTCCAGCCGGACTGCCAGGAGCCCCAAATACAACAACAGCACGGTTAAGGGCTACAAGCAGCTCATAACGCAGCACCTGGGCCTGAGCAACAGTAAAACTGAGGAGTGAGCTTTCGATGCATCCCACATATTCGCTTGTTTTGCCCTTGAAATCTGCTGCTTTCTGAACATTCGACTCTGTCGTGACAGAGGTCCGGTGTGCCAGAGGGTCGTAGGGGGGATGGTGTGGAACCCGGTTCTGCAGAGGTCTATTTCATCAGAGCATCTCGAGACCAAGAGTCTGCCCTCCAGATCGCCGCCATCAACCCCCAACTGGTAAAACTGCTGCTACTAACTGCAGCGGAGATTTTCTCTAAACTAAAAATAAACAAAAAAAAAGGCTCAAGCTACACATCCGATGTGTTGGTGCGGCAGGAGAAGTCCCCGAGTTCGCCATGAGATCAGAAAGCCTCGTCCGTCATCGGTAGAGCTCAGCACGGACCTGAAAGACATGTCAGAGGGGGAGGACGTCTTCTACACGTACAGGGCCTCTGTGGGCAGCAGCAAGGACAGCGAAGGAGACGCATCGTCTCATCGGTCAGTAACGCAGGAGCCCATGTTCCTGTGTTCACGTCTTTGTTGGGATTTTATGTCTTAGACTCCACAAGCTAAGGATGTTTCTAAGGATGCACCGATTGCCGATCACCAATCTTTAAAAAGCCTGTCCAGCCGATTTCGATTCTCTCTGATAGCAATTTTTGTTTGTCTGAAATGTTGCTGAATGTGGCAAGAAAGTTGCTGAGCTGGAAACAATGAGGTGATTGTTGCTTTTTGCAAATGTGCAGACATGATATGGTTGCTGAGGTCGATAAGATCCATAGATAAGACTGGCTTCCCCAAAATGAAGGAAATCGGTCGGTTTCTATTCATTTCTAAATGAAAATATTAGAAAAGGCAGATTTACATTTGTTTTCACTCTTCTGTTGATCAGTACTGCTAAATAAATTGGTCAAAGCGACCAATCACTGCAGAATTCACTTAATTAGTAAACATCATTTAATATTTATATCAATATTACACAGCCTTCCTCTGAAAATGCCAACAAACAAACGGCATCATGAAAACCAAGGAATGCAGCAGAAATGCTAAAGAAGTTGCTCTAGTCAGATCAGATCTTACATACAAAACTTGACTGATGGAAAAACTGCACCCTGAACTCACCATCCCCACTGAGAAACATGGTGCTGGCAGCATCATGCTGTGGAGATGCTTTTGTTCCGCAGAGGCAGTGAAGCTGGTCAGATAGAGACACAAACTTATTTTGTAATTTTTAAAAAACATATAAATCCTGCTTAGTTCCTTGGATTGGAGTTCACCATTTCTGATAACTGTGCAGTATTTTATGTTCTAGTCTTTACTGTACAGTATGTTTTTAGTCTTGATGTTTATATATTTTTAATGCTTTCTGTGAACGTACATGCCTATTCCGAATAGCTAAAATCATGTGTTTCTAACGGCCTAGTCAAAGTCCAGGCGAAATTCTGTCGAGAATCTGTAGAAAAATAGAGATATTGCCATTCACAAATGCGCTCAATCTGACTGATCTTGGGTTATTTTGTAAAAAAAAAAAAAAAAAGTAGAGACAGACCCCTAAAGACTAGCAGCAGTAACCGCTCTCCATTTTTCTTCAGATTTTATGGGTGAAATATTTGAAAACCATGTTTTATTTTTTATCTTTAACATAAAGTAACAATAAAATACATCGAGGCTTGTGACTGAAACATAAGAAATTGTTCAGGGGGATAGGAGTGTTTTTTGTTGTTTTTTTTTCCAGAGGACTGAAGTTAAAATCAGCTGACCTGTAATGAACCATGTAGCCGCAGAGTCATTTTTAATATTTTATGTCTTCCAGCTTTTCTGCTCCTAACAGTCAAGGATCTGGTGAGGGTTTGTTGCAAGCTGAAGACAGCATCGGGGAAGAAGACAGCCCGTTCCACAACAATAAGGTTTTTCTTTTTCACCTCGGCACTTTCTGATTTCTGAGTTTTCCCTTCACTCTTCACATTCATGACAAGTTCTTCGTGCAGGATGCTCTTGGTGACGGCGACCTGATGCTGATATGCATCACTCCAGACCACGAGGGGAAATTTGGCTTTAATGTGAAAGTACGTCTCTGTCTTCCTTGCATGCTGCATATACATTTTTTATGATTATTTGTTCCTCTGATGAAATTGTTGAACTCCTCTCAGGGTGGAGTGGATCAGAAGATGCCTCTGTCCATATCTCACGTTAAACCGGACTCCCCGGTAAGAACATTCCGGAATAATTATGTTTTTCAAGCTTTGTTACAAAAACAGTGGACAAATGGTAGCATATGGTTTTTATTTTCGGTTGTATTATGCATATTTTTGCAAAAATACCGCAAAACAAGAGATTCTTTTGGAAAGTCTTTAAAGTTTCCTCTTTGTATGGATTGGAAAAAGTTATAAAACCATTCAGACTCAAACCACATCTCACTCAGATAAATTGTGTCCAACTGGAGGGAATTCAAGGCCATTGTTGCTCTCCTGAGGAGTCTCCGGCCAGCAAAGATCACTGCTGTGCAATTTGCTGCAAGGTCAAAGAATAATCCAGGATTACGTCTAAGAAACCAAAGAGCTCTCTCACATTCTGTAATGTTAATGTCTGGCTCTACAATCAGCAAATCGCTGAACAACAACTTTCTGTGTGAAAGTGATAGAGGACGAAAGCAACGGCGCTACGGGGGTGAAACAATGTTGCCCTTTCTTTAGCTTGTCTAAAATGTTTGTCCATACACAGAAAATATTTTGTAGAATTAAATGTTTCATAAGAGTTGATATTGATTATTATTGATTTTTTTTGTTTGTTTTATGTCTCTGCACTACTTTCAAGCTCATGGTGTGACTTTTCCTGTTTTTTCCACAGTTTTTACTCCACGCCGTTATTTATTGTTACTGCTTGTTACTGCCTTTGATACACAGAGGCCAAACCTTAAACTGCTGCTGCATCAGTTACTCTACAGGTTGTTGCTAGGTAACCACAAGTTGCCCAGCAAGTTGTTGCTAGGTAACCAAAGAGTGAGTGAGTTTGTTGGTTAACGCCACCATCCTTTCTTTCAGCTGGCCGAGAGATGTTGAGTGGCTAAAGTGTTTTCTCTGCCTACATCCCCCAGAATGCTGTGCGGTTCTGGCTCAGAGTTCAGAGTTTGGACAGCTTGTTATTAGCATAAGCTTACACTTTTTCTGTTGTAAAAAGTAACACATTTAATGTAAAACATTAAAACACTTGGCTCTGAATTTAATTTCACCAAAACCATTTTCAGAAAGATAAACCCACAGTTGGTTTTTAAACCAGCGTTTTGGAAAAAGTGAACATGATATTTAGAAATCCTGTCCATTATCCCAGAAGAAACATTAAGAAAAGACCTGAATGAGAAGTTGATGACAGGAATACTGTTGTTGTTTTTTGTTCAGGAAACATCTGATATCTGTAATTGCAAAGAAAAGTTTCTGTTACCAAACTAAAGTTTTGTTTTTCTGATTTATTTATGTCATGAAATAAAATACAATACAAACTATTTACTTAAAAATCGCACAATTTGAATTTCTAGATTTCTGTTTTCCGTCACTCACAGTTGAAATAACCGACGATAAAAATTAAGTACTTCTATATTCTTTGTAAGCGGTTAAACCTGCAAAATCGGCAGCATATTAAGTACTTGTTTTTCCCACTGTGTATGACATCGAATGGTTGTTAATATGGTCCTGTGACCCAAAACCTGTATTTCAATGGCATGTTTTCTTTTCTTGCCCATTTTGAAGAGTGGCTAAGAGAAATTGCCTTGTGTCAGGTCATAGTTCTAGCCCAGGTAAACGGAAAGTTACTCATGAAACAAAAATCCTAGAACTATGGTCAGCTTAAAAAAAGTCAAGAGCAAAAAAAGTTAAATTTATTTGATGGGAATTGATGACTTCTTAATATGAGATTATCCTTTAAATGAAAACTAGGACAATTAACTTAAAAAATAAGCTTATTTGTTCTTTTGGAGGCAAACTATGCTTCTAAAGTCACTAATAATTTCTTGTTTGCTACCTTAAATTTGATTTAAAGCTTGTCCGTTGTGTCTTATAGGCCGGTCGATCTGAACCCAGACTGCAGGAGGGCGACCTGGTCCTGCTCATCAACGGTCGGGACATTTCCGAACACACACACGACCAGGTGGTCATGTACATCCGAGCCAGCCGAGAGTCTCACTCCAGGCAGCTGGCTCTGCTCATAAGACGTAAAGGTGTGTACCCGTAAGAGGAAAGTGCTGAGACGGAAGGAGAAATGCAAATGACTGCTGCTCACAGCCCTGGACTGTCCTCGTGATCCAGGTTCGGGCCGGGTCATGCCTCAACTGCAGCTGTCATTCGCCGCCCTCTCGCTCACCATCCCACCACAGGAGAACAAGCCTCAGTCACCGGGTCAGCTGGAGCGGGTCACCACGTTGGAGGAGTCCATGAAGCAGCTGGAGAGAGGGATACAGTCTGGCACGCTGTCCTTCCATTTTGAGGTATTTTGTTTGACATGTAGAAGTGTTTTCAGTAGACATGCACTGGTTCCATTTGTTGTGGCTAAGATCTACATCTCATCCCTTATATTCTTACATATTAAGACCTATTATTCTTCCTGGAACATATTACGATATGTCTATGGGCTACAAAACATGTTGATCACATTTTTTGCACAAAATCATTCTTAAATCATCTCAGTCTGGTCAGGTCTGCCTATTTGAGCTACTTTAAGGGCATCTTGTCACTTGAAATCCAAATAAGCTGCTGCTGGACATGTCCCACAACTCAACGTTTACACTAACACATGAAAATGGCTTCAAACTTACCCACAACTGTGTGCCATACATCTTTGAAAAGCAAAAGCAGAGCTTCCTGCACAACCAACAAGAATGCAGCAAGTGGTTTCTGAATATTAATTCAATAATAGCAGCAGATCTTGTACAGCACATGCAACAGTAAAATCAGCTGAACAAATGTGCTGGAACTTCTTGGGTTGCTAGGTGACAGGCTGAGCTTGACTGGGGTTGCTAGGTTACGGTGCAGAGCCCTTCAGTTGTGACTTAAGAATTTTCCACACACCAAAAATCATTAACCTATTGCCAAAAAATGCCTGGGTGTTTTATTTTAAATAACTTTAGACACAAATCGAAGTTAAGAAAAGGTTCAAAAAGTGAATTTCTAAATGCAGCTTATGTTCCTTTCTCAAAAGAGCTAAAAAGAGAGAACTTTACTCTTATCAGCCTTCCTGTTATCTGATGAGAGGCTCTCTCTCTCTCTCAGCCATCATGTCTACAGTCTTGATACGTCGTACAAAAGCTTCTTTTTAGATCGCTCCTTGCATCTCTGGGCTTAATCTGACTTCATTTTGAACATCTCAGGCATGCCAGGGCCAATCAAACCTAAAATCAGCTGATTTCTCTGAGCATCTCTACGTTTAAAATGCTGCTTTTAGGACAGATGTTGGCCCTAATCTTCAGCTGAATCCTGTTCATAAAAGCAGCGATGACCTTGAATTTTTCTAATTCCTGTGTGTGTATGTTTCTGTGTGTATTTACATGCATGTTTGCGTGCGTTTGCATGCTTGTAATTCCTAGAATTTATACAAGAGGAAGCCTGGTCTGTCCCTAAGCTGTGCACGGCAATCCGAGAACCAGGAAAAGAACCGCTACAGAGACGTTTTGCCTTGTAAGTGCTCCTTGCTGCGTCTGCGTGCCTGTTTGCTTTCGCTCGTCCCCCTGCTGTGCCCGGATCCCGCATGTTAGGCTTTGAGAAATTTAATTTTGACAGCTCTGTTCTGAAACCTCACCAGCTGCTGCCCTTCTCTGCTTTCAGACGACGACACCCGAGTGGTGCTGCTGGGGAAGGAAGACTACATCAATGCCAGCCACATCACGGTGAACATCGCTCACCTGAAACTGCCTCCCGTCCTCTGTGTCTCTTTTAGTGTAAACTCATCCTGTTCATCTTGTGTGTGGGTGTTTGTGTGTCTGTGTGTGTCTCTTAGGTGGCACCCAATGAGTCTGGAGTGTGTTTACGTTACATTGCTGCTCAAGGTCCACTTCCACAGACCTGTACTCACTTTTGGCAAACTGTATGGGAGCAGCAGACGCACACCATCATCATGCTTACGACTCTAACAGAGAGGGGACGGGTACAACGTGCTTTGTTTTTGTTTTTATAAGCCACCGTTTTGCAGAAACGTCTTAAAATTATGCAACTGAACATCAGCAACACGTTAACATAGCAATTAGTGCAGCACAACTGGCAAATTATTACATGCTGTGTCAGGTTTAATTTTGATTACAGTGATTAGAGGGGGTTCAGTGGCTATGTTTGCACACAGCAATGATCCGATGGATCACACCATAAAAGAATGGCTGAAAGCGAGCGCGACCCAGATGCCGGTGAGATAAATAATCCGACGCAGAGGAGGAACAAGAGCGTGCCTCTGTCTCAGCTTTCTTGTTGCTTAGAAACCAGATGTTCTCATTAATCGATCATTGTGTCTGGATCTCGTCAAGTGTCCGGGAGTTTCCCCTCACTGCATGCGCCTACGTACATATGCATCGACGCTAAGCTCTCCACCTGTTGCCGCTGATGAATTGCTTTTGTCTGCTGGCCGCCCTGTGGATCAGAGCAGGCTTTCTGAATATGAGCTTGATTTCCTTAGAGTTGCTGCAGCGGCAAACTGTTTCCTGTTACTCATGTCCAGAGTTGGACAGTAACTGGTTACATTTTCTCAGTTACATTTACTTGAGTATCTTTTTGGCAATAATTTACTTTTAGGAGTATTTTTTCCTGTACTGTACTTTTCACTTTTACTTGAGTAATTTTGTTCTGAAGTTTGGCTAGTCTTAGTTGAGTAAAATATCTGGATGCTTTACGCACTCTGAGTAACTTCATTTAAAGAAAAAACAAGTTTGTTTTAACCAAAAACCAGCTGACAAAACGTGCTGGAGCTCCACTTGGGTTGCTAGGTGATGAGCTGAGCTCGGGTAGGGTTGCTAGGTGACAGCGCAGCGTGGTCTAACAATCAGGAGGTTTTCAAAATGGCAATAAACATTGGCTTATTTCCACAAAAATGGCAATAAGTGTTTATTTTTAAAAGCTTGGGCTTTGTTTTTAGAAGCAATTGAGACTCAAATGGAAGAATAAAAATGTGCAAAACGTGACTTTTATTTTCCCCTTCTTTAAAGATTCATAAGTTTTATACTGAAAGAAATTGATTAAGGAAATAAAATATTTTGCCTGATATTATTATTATTATTATTATTATTATTATTATTTTGTAATTGTTATTTATATTATTTTTATTTTCATCCTTTAAATACCAAAATTTCCTCATAACTTCACATTTTGGTCTGTCTGGTGTAATTATTAAATATTAAATGACAGATTTTTGATCAGTTATTGATACTTGAATACCCTTCTTACTCTCACTTGAGCAATTTCTCAGATGCACTCACTTTTTACTTAAAAGTAAAAATATAATGAAGTAGTACTACTCTTACTTGAGTAAATTTATTTTGGCTGCTCATGCCAGGACTAACGCAGTAACGTCGGTGATGTCATACGTGTTGCAGACAAAGTGCCACCAGTACTGGCCGCATCCGCCGGAGGTGAAGGATTACGGCCACTTGTCGGTGAAGTGTCACTCAGAGGAGTGCAACCTGGCGTACGTGACGAGGCAGTTCACTCTGAGGCACAAAAAGGTAAACCTGATGATAGAGCTGAGATAAGCGGCTGCGCTCCTTCCTGAGGGTTTGTAAACGTCTTGATTCGTTCAGGTGGAATATCTTAAACCCTGTTTGCCTGTAGGGAAATTATGATGTAGAGAGCAATGTTTTTCAGTTTATAGGTCAAATTATAAACTGAAAATTTTCTGACAAATAATCAATGAAGTGCCAGCGCTGAGTGAGAGCAATTTGGATGAGTTTTTTTTTTTTGTTTTTTTCTTTCCTTTGAGGCTTTTGTTTTGTCAATGAAACAGTTTTCAGCTGCAGCCCTGGTTGCACACCTGTCCATGCACATTTCCTCTTGGTATGTTGCAGCAGCGTGTAGCATGTTCGCTCCATATGTCACATAACGGAGCTCGCTGCGGGCTGCGGCCTCTCCTGGCACACTGTCGTTTCCGTGTGGGTGTTTTTGTCTGTGTGCCGGTGATCCTGTGCGTTGTAAGCGTGTCCACCTAATTTTCCACCCCCCTGCCTGCTTGTGGGTAAAATCGGGCAGGTCTTTTTGTGGGAACGCTGTCTGTCTGATTGTATCAGGGTAGATGATCAGATTAAAAGTGCTAGCTTCCACATCAGCCTCCATGCCGAACAGGTAAATAAACAGATTACACCCAAGGAGGCATGAAATATGAACGCGCGCACACATGCATACACAGATACCGCTGTGTGGGTCCATCTGCTCCTCTGGCGGGGCGAATTAATCCCCGCATGAAATCGCAGGCCACATGCCTATTAAAAACACCAAAGTCAGCCGTTTTCCTTCCCAGTCTTCCTTTGTTTTTCGCTGTGGTCTTTCCCTCTATCCTCTGTTTACATTGCTGCCTAATCTGACTTACTGATCACATGGTTGTTGACCTGGACTGTTTCCGCCTCACCAGGGTGACATTTTCCAAAGGTTACACATTCATCATGCAAGATTATTGTCACGCATTATTCTAATTGTCTTTTATTTGTGTTTTTGTTTGTAAAAGTTAGCTGAAGAGTTTTCAGTCACACACCTGCAGTACGTCGCGTGGCCGGACCACGGCGTACCCGATGACCCCTCGGACTTCCTGCTCTTCATCAGCTCGGTGAGGGAGAGGAGGAAAGCCACAGAGCCGCTGATGGTACACTGCAGGTAACGCATGAGGCTGCAGTTTAGTCAGACTTTCTCCTTTGGCTCCTGTGAACTGAACCCAACGTTTTGCTTTAAATCATCTTCTCAGTGCTGGGATTGGGCGGACAGGTGTCCTCATCACCATGGAGACGGCGCTGAGTCTCATAGACGCGGGTCGGCCGGTTTTCCCGCTGGACATTGTGAAAACACTAAGAGACCAGCGAGCCATGATGGTTCAGACCACGGTACTGAGATTAAAAACAAAAGACTCGCTTGTTAAACGACACTGTTACTCCATGGCTCATTAATTTCTCTATTATGCTGCGTGATGATCACCCCAAGCTGTCTTGTTTCCTGCTGCTTTTTAATGCAGTGTTTACTTATAGGGAGTGTCAAACTCATCAACTCGTATTAAAAATACCCTCACAGTAATCCAGGTTTTATTTTAATACACTTCCTTGTAAATCTATTGCCACCCCTTGAGCTCTTCCACACTTTGTCTTGTTGCAGCCACAACCTTTAGTGAATTTTATGTGACAGACCAACAAAAGTAGAACATAATTGAGATGTGGAAGGTAAAGATTTCCTCTACTAAAAATCTGAAATGTGTGGCCTGCATTTTTGTTCAGCTCTCTTGAGTAACTGCATTTTATTAGTAGAGCCACATTTCAACGCAACTAAAGCTGGAAGTCTTTAATTTCTCTAATTCTTCACAATTCTGATTTTATTGTTGAATATTGCAAAATTGTTGCATGCATTAGCCCTCCAAATATTGCAGCCATGCAGCTCTTTTTGATTAGAATATTGGGATTTTAATCGTAATTTCATGCAAATCTGAATATCGGTTTTCAACTCAGATTCTGGATTTAGGCGTAGACTTTGATTGGACCATTCTAACACCTCAAAATGATTTAATCTTGACCATTAATATTCTTAGTTATTCATAATAATTATTCTGGGTGAAAACAAATGCATGCCACACTTTTCAGATTAAAGTTAAAGCCAGATATCCCCCTTATTCCCTTCCCAGTTATTCACTTCTCTGTGTTGGTTTGTCACAAAAAAAACAAAAAGTATTGACGATGGTGGTTGCAAGATTAAGAGTAAAAAGGTCAAAGTAGGTCAAAGTGTATGAACACATTTTAAGCAAATGCCTATCATTTTTGCAAAACTTTTCATTGTTTTCAGTTTATTATGAGTTAGAAAATAATCATTTTAACTTTTGAGTCAGTTAAAACACCAATGTAACAGGAATAGTGAGAGTAAAAATGAATTTCATCACATTTTCTTTCTACTTCTGCTGAGATCTCGATTTCTTTGGGAAAAAAAACCCCTCGTCTTTGTGGTTTAGTAAAGAACTCCTGGAAGAGTGAGAATTTAGTTGCACGCTCAAGGTTTTTCTGAAAAACACCTTCAGCACTTTTCAAAGAAACGGAGGTAAAAGAAATAAATAAAAAATCCTGCTTGTCCCTGACTCTCATTAATTTCCAGACTGCTATGGTGATGATGAGAGGCTTTAGTCGAGTGTTGGAGGCAGGAAGCCAGGCTCTGTAGCACCTCAGTGAGGGACAGCAGAGTGTTACTCATGCTGGGAAAATTGCAGCTTGTTCCTTTTGGCTCGGCAGCTACCACCATCACCCATATTTTGAAAAAGACCCACAGATCTCCGTTCTCTGATGTGCTGATGAAGACTTCCTCAGGTTCTCCCTCACGTTTTTGTGTATCCGTAATAAAAACATGCACAGTCAAAGGACATTTATCTCTGTTTATATTAAGAGTGGAAACATGCCATACTTAATTTTTGGAGCCCATTAAAAAAAGAAAAAAGATAGATATGTGCCTTTTTGCCAGTTTCATAATATCCCACTAAAATATTCCTGCGAGTCTCTAATGGCGAGATTTTCAGAATTTGTTTTTCCACCTTTACAGGCGGTGGTGGCAAAATAAACACAGACCCAACGCGCACCAGCTTCTTATTTTAAAATATCATGGCATTTCAAAGAGCTCAGGATTTTGTGCCCTCTTACAAAATGCTCAGGGTGTTTAAACAACAAACAGGCCCGCAGCATCACAGATCCTCCACCGTGTTTGACTATAACCACACCTGGAGTGTTTCATAACTTTAATTCCATCCTATAAAAGTACCAGTGGAGGTTGGAACCTATTTACATTTGTGATTCTAGGAAATAAACATTGTTTTTTGAAGATAGCTCCAGTTTAGTTCCCTCCTCCACCGATGCACATTGAAACGACACCAATGCTGACATTTCATACCCATGTATTTAAAATACAACATACGTCCATAAAAATTATCTTTTTTTTTGTTGTTTTCAACAATTCTCTGAAGTTATAAGCTGGTCAGTCCTGGGAAGATTCACTCCTGTTCAATGTTTTGTCTCACTGTAGTTCTCTGGAGCCTGAAAGCCTCAGAAATGACTTTGTAACCTTTTTCCAGACAGAAATATTATAGATTTTGTTTCTAATGTGTTCTTTGATATCTTAAAAGCAACACGTCATATTCTGATATGACGTGTTGCTTTTAAAATCTTGTACCCTATACTTCATGTTGTCGCACAGGGTCTATTTTCTTTTTCCTTTATGTCAAGACATAATCAGTATTGCTAGAAAATGTGATTTAAATACACTTAATTCAGGATGTAACAATTGGGCAGTAAAACCATCACAGGGCTGCAGAACTGCGTCTGAGAACATCATCAGGTTGTAATTTTTTAAAACTTTTTATAGAGGAGTTTTTGAAATGCACAAAATATCAGGGGATGTTTGTAGATCCCCTGATGTTGTGCCAAGTTAAATATCCAAACATCCATCAAAAGATGGATATGAATATTTAGATGTAATGACTTTCAGATCCACTTTTTCTGCTGTTATTAAACAGTTGGACAAGTTGACATTGCATTTGTTAAAGACCCGTTTTGGTCTTTTTTTCCATTTCATTATTAATTCCCTTTTAGCACATTCAGGTATTTTCACACACATCAACTTAAAAAAAATAAGTTTTTTTGTGAAGGTTTGGAAATACACCAAGTTTTTAGACTTATTTGAAGCAAAAAACCCCTAAAAAATCAATGATCATACGACATTTCGTGAGATTTATTGACCATTCTTCCAATTTCTCATATTATGCCGTTTCTTCCTGTTTAGTGTCAGTTCCAGTTCGTGTGTGAAGCCATTCTTCGCGTCTACAAAGAGAAAGAGGAGAAATCCAAAGCACCGTAATCCGATTCGACGGCGGGACCAAACCAGACTCGCTGCTCTGCCTCTGTTAACAGGAGGGACTTCTGCAGAGATCCAGCAGATTAAACTCCGCCAGGCTTATAGCGCTGGAACACGCACTGGATAATGAGAGTGTAACAAGCTTCAGAGCACAGCTGTCTGCGAGGAGAGGGAGAAACAGAGAGTACGAATATTAAACCTAGTTGGCTTTAGTTTATGCTAAAAGGTACATTAAGCTTATAGAGGCTGTGGTCTCCATAGAGACCGATGTAGGACTGACGTGAGCTGCTAATTTCTGTTCAAGAGGCCTCTCAGGAGCGACACTTCGACTTGTTAAGCTACATGTGCCTTAGACCGAAGCTTCCCAATCAATGAGTCCATCAAGGGCGGCAGAGGCCGAGTCAGACGGTTGTGATGTGTAGTTTATCTCCGACTCCTGAGATGAGGAGCAGCGCCGACTTCAGATGGCTACAGCAGGTATCAGGTCAAGGAGGGAGCAGAGCTGTTTCTTGACTGCCAGAGGATCACCAGATTTACTGTTCATCACGTTTTAAATTATTCAAACTCTAAATAAACTCAATGATTTATACAGATGGTTCTGCTTCGTCATTTCCTCCATTTGGGAAATGGGAGCTCTGACCAAAGCGTGGTGGTGTCCTTATGCGGCATTATGACAGTGAAAGCATCATAAATAAGCTCAAAGTATCGAGATGTGATCAGATATTAGATTAAAAGAAGCTATTACGAAATGAAATGCTAGTTTTAGAACTGCAGTGTCCTTGTAGCTGCATAATAATCGTACCAGTTTGGATTAATTATACATACTTAAGAGTTTGTGTGTTATAATGCAATCTTGCTATGGTCATATTTTAGTCTGCAGTGTAAAATTAATTCATAATCCTGACCAATGAGTCAGTAAATGAATAGATTGTAAATAATCTCTCACTCCTGAGATTAGATCATTTCCAGATTGTGAAAAATACCTGTAGAAACTCAAAATACCTGTATAAACTCATGCAGGTTTATAGGTCGCTTTTATTTGTTTATGTTTTAATGAAACATCTTGAAAAGAAAACTTCATGATTTTTGACATCTGTTTTACGTCCCTGAGTTATAAATATAAGACAAGTTGTAGGACTAACCTTTATATAATTACTGCTCTTCTAAATTATTAAGGAAATTTGAATATACTGCTTATCAACAAAAAAATAGTAACCTAATGCTAACCTTTTGCTAAAATAAAAAAACTGCTGAAAAATATTAACATGTCAAGAAAAATTAAAGAAAAATATCTTACATTAAAATATTTTTTTATTTAAAGTTAAACATTTTATCTTATTAAATGCATTTTCACTTGTGTTATTTTTTATGTTTAGATCTTTTACAAATGTATTACTGACTAGAATTTGATCCATTATCTATTTATGTGGTTCCATTTTCAATTAAAAACTGACTTTTTTTTACGATTTGTGGCACTTTTGGACCTCCATACTTGAATATATTTATTCTTGCTCGTTTTATTCTCCGTCTGTATTTTCAAAGATATGCAGCCACAGATGAGAAAAATGCAAAAAAAAATATATATATATATAATAATCCTCACATACCATCATAATGTTAAAAATGCTCGGGCCCCTGACGTCCAGGTGGGGTCCCTGGCAGACAGGTGGCGCTGGTTGTTGGTTCTCTTGGGTCGGCCCGTCGGGAGGAAAAGAAGTTTGTTCTGCGCGGTGTTTTTACGCAGGCGCAGATCATGCTGTTTGTCCAGTTTCGCTGGTTGACTTTTACCTGTGAGGTAAACCGGTAGTTTCGGTTCAGCGGTGGGGAAAGGACGCTGCAGCCGTCAGTTCGGTTCGGTCCAGAGGTGTGGAGGCTTCCCCGTCGTCCTCCTCCTCCTGTCTGCTCCGGTGTGTGTCTCAGGGTCCCCGCTGCGGAGCCTCGGACGGGATTTCTCCAGGATTTTAGAGTCGGTGCGCAACAGCGAGGAGGAGGCAGGTGGACGGACAGGACAGGACGGGGGTGAAGAGGAGGAGGAGGAGGAGAAGGAGGAAGAAGAAGAGCGGAGCCGTTCACTCCGGACCCAGCGAGTGGAAATCAACTGGTTGGTTTAATCTGGTTCAGTTTTATTAGTATGCGGCTGGAGTCCCCCTGCTGCTGATCGGCAGCCCTGAAGTCTCCTCCAAGCCTGCTAAGTGACTCTTCGCCCCGGGGAGGACGTGGGGAAGGAGGCGGACCGCAGCGGCCGCTGCGAGGGGCAGATTTCACGGACACACCGCGGACCCAGTCGCCCTCTGGATCAGGAAGATGATGGGCTTTCTGCGCCGGACGTTCAGCCGCCGCTCCCGCTTCCAGACGATAGAGAGGGACGAGCGGGACGGAGGAGGGGTGACAGGGAACCCCCTGCTGCTGCCCCACCAGCAGCAGGTCGTCCACGCTCCTGCCGTGGTCAGCGGGGGAGCCACGGTCCACATCCCGGCGGGGGGAACGGCGAGGAGCACCATCACCTGCCGCGTCCTGCTGCTGGACGGCACGGATGTCAGCGTGGATTTACCTGTGAGTGTTTACCGAGAGGCAAAGCTCGGTCAGTGTGTGTCAACGTGGGGTCCGGGGACACTTTACGGTCCTTTAAGGTCTTCTTGAGGGTCTCCTTAATGGATTATTATTATTTTTTTTTTATTACATGGAGAAAGTTAGGCTTAAAATAATTTTGATTAATTTATTACACAGTAAACAGAGATTCATGAACTTTGAGCACAAGCTACCAATAAATCATGTGATGTCAGTAAGGGTGCCATTCCTAAACAAACCTTAAATATGACCCACTTTAATTATCTGCTACTCATTCACAACTCCAGAGCCTTAAATATAAAAACAACACAAGAAAGTTGTACTTTGTGATGTCATATTGTTTGTTCACTCTAAGATTGAACACCAGCCACTCGCCCTCTCATGGACTTCCTCCTCCTTCAATTTTTATTGCGGTTAGCAAACGACTTAAGGTGCATTACCACCACCTTCTACTTTAAAACATGGACCACATGTTTTATTTTTCCCAAAATATCTGTTCTTCTAAAAATGTAAATATTAGAGGCTGTTTGAAAGGAAACTAATATCAAGGACATGTCCAGATATATACACAGATGCCTGTGGTTAATTAAGGCTGCGACATAGCGAGAGAGAGCAACACTTAAGCAGGTTGTACAAAAGATAAAAATGTAAAGAAAGATGTTATAATTTTACCCTCTTAAGTTTTTCATTTGTCATGAAATATGATGGATTGGAAAATGTTGGCAGCCTTTTTGTTCTTTCAAAATATACACAGTAGCCAGTGTTTTTGTAATGCTAGCCAGAATAAATGTGCTAATTGCTAACATGGGATGCTGAAAAAAAGTCAAATTTTTAAATGAAAATATTAGTAAATTGCTTATTTGCAGCGACTGTCCTCATGGATATGTCACCTCTACTTCTACTTTGAATAATTAATGATTGCCTGTGGCAGGAAGGCTAAAAAAATATTTAAGTGCTGTTTTCATGTCTTCTTAAAGTGAAAATGGAATTGGCTAAAAATCTGAATAAATCTGTTTAAGCTTGACAAAAATCAGAGATTTGACCATTCGCCACTAAATTCTGATTGGTGGATTTATAGAGCAAACTTCCTGTTTGTAGCTTTTCCTATCATATTTGAACTGTAGAGCAAACAAACGGCTCAATTTAGACTCAACCTTTGGATGTTTTGTTGTGTTTTTCACTTAAATCTGTCCAACGTTGCTGAAGTTCCTAATGCTTACAGTACAATTGGCTTCAGGCGGTGCTCTGATGAGACACTTTAACGCATCTCGTTCTGTCTGGCTGCAGGGAAGTCTAACTAAGGCAGCTAGAAGTGTCTCCCCTGCTGTTTGCTCTTTTGCAGCTTCTCCTTCCACCTTTTTTTTCTTCCGCATCCTTGCATCTGATCTTCCTCGAGCAATCTCCGCTCTAGCTTCTCTCCTCTCATAATCTCCTTTTACACTCCCTCTGTGGCCCATCTCCCTTCGCTCATCATCGCTCTCCTCCCTCCTTCCCACCCTGTTTCTCGTGCGTGTTCCCCCTCCCTCTCCTTCCCGTCTCTCTCCTCAGTCTGTCTGTATTCCCTGACTCCCTGATCTGATTTACCACAATTGGGGACTCTGTGCCACAAATACGAGCGTGTGTAGAGGGATGGTGGGTAGGTGGGATGATAAGCGAAGTGTGTGTGGGCATGTGTGCGTAAGTGACTCCTCATTAGATGCTTTTTCCTTTTTTTTATTATTATTATTTTAAAGGTTGTGTGTGTGTCACCGAAGCTGTTGCGTGCGTCACCTGTGAAAAACACGCAGCCGGTACACTGAGGAGTTTTTTTATCCTGCTGTCCTGCTGCAGCGAGGTTATGGTAACAAAGCAAAGCCACGGCAGCTTCTCCTGAACTATTGCCGTTCGAAGTGAAACGTGGCTCGTCAAGGTGGAGGCTTAGTCACAGGTGTTTTGGAACAGGTTTGTTCATGTGCTCCTGTTCTCCCTCGGGGAACAGATACAGGTGCGCCGTTTCCAGCTGAAGCCTTTTTAAAGCTTAGCAGTGTGAAGGAAAACAGGAAAAAGTATTCTTGTAAAAGCACCTAGTGAAATCATTCATACCGCTTAAACTTTGTTACAACCACAAATTTCATTATTGTTTAGTTTTTACATCAGTACAAAGAGGTGCATGTTCATGTAGTGGAAGAAACGGACTGGTAAGAGCAAGCTTGTCGTGATAACTAATTTTGCTGGGTGATAAATTGACCCAGAAATGTCAGTGTTATGACACCATTTCAACGGATATAATAATCGTGGCATAATAATGCAAGGACATCCAATCATAAATCAATAGACTTTCATTTCCAATGAACGTTTAACACTGGAACTGCAAGAGACTTTAAATATCGCAAATAAATAAACACAATAACCGAAGCAATAAGTGAAATGGATTATGAACTCTCAATAAAACAAAATTGTCCTTCAAAACATATTAATTATTAGGCTCAGACTGGGGAAACAGGCAAAACTGCCACTTAGGACTTTTGTGAAATAGAAAAGTGCAAACTAGCATTTTTCAAAATGGCGGCTAACTACACGAACAAGCAAATGGAAATTATTGCTCTCTTCTTAATTTGTCATGCAGTTAGTTGATTTATCGCTTTGATAAACATCCATTTAAAGACTCTTTTTTACCAAACTCAGTAGGACTGGATGGTGGAAACCAAATATCACATCTTACTGAAGATGTTCTGTTGTATTTAGACATGAACTTTGACTAGACCATTCTAACACCATAGTCTAGTCTAAATCATTCCACTGTAACTCCACATGTTGAGAATTGTAGGAAACCCTTGTGTTTTGCTGGTGCTAGCAGGTTTTGTTTTAGGATTATTTAGCTCCAACAATCAGCATTAAGCACCTTGCCTGTCCCTTTTAAGAAAAGCTGACCCCATATCATGATGCTACCACCTCTGTGTTTCATCATGTGGATAGTGTATTAGGTTTTCTGCTCTGCATAAGCATGTTGCTTTTAGAGCACCTTCTTCAATATGCAGAAAACATT